TGGTGATTCGAACCACTAACCTTTGAGTTAGCAGTCAAGCATTTAACCACTGCCCTATCAGGACTGTTGATGTTAATTTTAAGTGCCACTGAGTCAATTCTGACTCATAGTGACCCTGTGTAGGGTTTCCAAAGAGTGGTTCAAGGGTTTGAACTGCCGATTTTGCCATTAGCAGTCAAATGCATATCCTCTAAGCGCCATTCCAGGGACAAAGATACAGCTCAGAGCCAGTGAGCTACCACTTGGCCTCCACTAGGATGGCTAAGATGAACTTTTAAAAGAGAAAAGCGAACAACAGACAAATGTCAAATGTTGCGGCCACTGTGAAAACCAGTTCTGCAGTTCCTCAAAGAGCTGAAGAGAACAACTCCAGGGCACACCATCACCATCACAGGGCACAGCAATGGCAATCCTAGTTTTGTTGTTTTAGGTACTGTCATGTCAGTTCCGACTCATAGCAATCCCGGTCCTGCGCCATCCTTAAAATCATTATTAATTACCCTTGAACTCATTGCTGCTGCCAATCCATCTCGTTTGGGGGTCTTCCTCTTTTTGCTGACCCTCCACTTGACCAAACATGATACTGTTCTCCAGGGGCTGTTCCCTCTTGATAATATGTCTGAGGTATGAGAGATGTCTGGTCATCCTGGCTGAGCATTCTGGCTGCACTTCTTCTAACACAGATCTGTTCATTCTTCTGGCAGTCTATGGCACTTTCAATCTGCCCTTCCAACATCCTAACTCAAATGCATCTATTCTTCTACAGTCTTCCTTATTCATTGTCCAGCTTTCACGTGCATATGAGGCTAAGTGCAAACCTCAAAGAACTAACACAGGAACACAAAGAGCAACTTGTACACCAGGAATCACTGCACACTTTTCACAACTCCCAAAAGGTAGAAATGAGCGAAATGGCCATCAGCATGAACGGCTCCTAGTTGGAAAGCACAACCTTGAAAATTCACCATCTGAGACAACTGTGGAGTTCCAGTGCAGCATGGGTGGCGGGAGGATGTTAGTGAACAGACGTTATCTTCATCTCGGGTGTGATAATGGGGCCCCGATTCTGCTGGAGGAAGCCCTTATTTTTAAGAGCTGCCAGCTGAGGTATGTGTGATGAGACACATAAAAGGTTTGGTTTGTACATAGCCAGGTGGGGCACACACGGCAAATGCTGGCCTGCTGACTCTGGGTGCAAGGTATGGAGATATTCATTCACTATGGTCTTCTTTCAACGTTTCTGAGACAAGTTGGTGGGGGTGGGGGTCCTCTCCATAGGGTATAGGCACCAGGAGAAGGCAGGATAGGCCCAGGGAGGGGGGCACTGCAGCATCCAGGTACCAGGTTTACCTTCCCCCAGGTTCAGAAGCCAGAGAACCAAGGCCAATGTGAGGTGAGGTAGGCAGCAGGGACCGCACTGGTCAGCTATGGCCTCCCTCTTGCTGGATTTCTGGCTTACACCTTGGCTGGAGGCTCAAAGCAGGAATTTGGGTTTTGTTTTTTCCAGGAGTCCTGGTTAGCGCTGTGGGTTAATGCACCAGACTGCAAAGCTGTTTGAACTGCAAGTTTGGTGGTTCAAGCTCACCAGCCACTCCTTGGAAACCTGTTCAGGGTCGCTATGGGTTGAGAACTGACTCGACGGCATTTAATAACAACAATAACAGGCAGTAAAAGCAGGTCAAAAACCAAATAACCAAACCCACTGCTCTCAAGTGATTCCCAGACACAGGGTTTCCGAGAATAGATAGCTTCACCTTTCTTCCTCCAGGTGGCTATGGGTTTGAACTGGCAACAGGTGATTTAAAAACAGGGCAGGGAGAAGGCAGGGGCCTCCCCCACGCTGGAGAGCACAACACAAGAACAGGTCTCTCACTGACTAGAATGCTCGGCTGGCTCCCCACTGCTCCTTTTGCAGGCTATAAACTGTGTGCCAGGTACTGGGAAGCAGCTTCCTGTTTATCAGCCCTTGGATCTTACAACAACCCTGTGACAAACCCCAATTCATTAAGCGCCTGCCAAGCCCCGTGGGAATCATCATCTGCAGTCCAAGGCCTTGCTGGGAACCCGAGCTCCTCTCAGTCCCCTGCTCCCTGAGACCCCAAGCCCTTGAGTCTCTGGCAACAGAGAACCCTCTGGCAGGCACTCACTGTGCTGCATGCCCCCAGGCCTTTGCCTATGTGGTGCCTTTTCCTGGAGGCACACTCTCCTTCCTCCAGCAGGGCTCACGTCCATCTCTCATAGTAGCAGGTCATACCATCTGTCAGACCCTGCACCCATCAGAATAGATGTGTCCCACTGGGTTTTTAGTGACTGGTTCTTGGATGTACATCACTATGTCTCCCACCCCCAGGTGCCTCTGGGTGAACTCAATCGACCAAATTTTGGGTTAACAGCCAGGAGGGAGAACAGTGGACACTCGCCAGTGACTCCCTTATACAGCCACCGGGGTTCAGTTGGCTTTAACTGGTAGACACGTTTCATTCCCCAGTTTTCAACTCGAGAGGAGAAATCTGTTCCTTTGGTAGAACAAGTAATGAGCCTGGTGGCCAAGTGGGTTAAGTGTTCAAACGCACCACTTGCTCCATGGGAGACCACTGAGGCAGTCTGCTCCCGTAAGGATTTACAGTCCCAGAAACCTCACGGGGCAGTTCTACTGTCTTTTAGGGTCCCTCTGAGTCAGAATCAATTTGATGGCAGTGAGTTTTGGTTCTTTGGTTTGGTGAGGAAAATACACTTTTAGCCCTGGGAAAATAGGAAAGGTTAAAGAGTGTGTATTGTTAAGTGCTGTGGAGTCGGTTCTGACGTGAAGCGACCCTCTGCACAACAGAACAAAACACCGCCCGGTACCACCCCAGCCTCACAATTGTTATGTTTGAATCACACTACTGAGACCACTGAGTTAATCCACCTCATTGGGGGTCTTCCTTTTTCTTGCTGATATTCCACTTTACAAAGCATGATGCTTTCTCCAGGGACTGGTCCTTCTTGAGCACATGTCCAAAGTACCAGAGATGAAGTACTGCCATCGTCACTTCTAAGGTACAATCCAGCTGTATTTCTTCTCAAACAGGTCTGCTGTTCTTCTGGCAGGCTAGGGTACTTTCCATATTTTTTGCCAATAACTCAAAACGCATGGATTCTTTTCTGGTCTTCCTTATTCATTGTCCAGCATACATATGACGCGATGGAAAATATGGCTTTGGGTTGGCACACTGTCATCCTCAAAGTGACATTTTTGCTAGATGTAGTAACAAGTTTTATAATAGTATTTATTTGGTGTGTGTGCTATAATGCATTGTTCAAGAGGGGAGCCACTGGCCACATGTGGCACTTTAAATGCATTAAATAAAATAAAATATTCTGTCTCTCACTGGCACTAGCCATGCTTCAAATGCTCCACAGCCATGTTTGAGCTTGAACAGCCAACCTTGATGTTCATACCATCTTTGCGGTCCAGCACATTGACCCACAACACCACACCAGGACTCTATTTTTCTTCACTGAGCATAACACTGACTCCATTGAGTATAATAAAATTAATCATATTAAAGGATTCCCCTTCTATTCCTTGCTTGTTGAGAAACCCTATACAGAGTTGCTATGGGTCAGAACCAACTCAATACACTTAACAACATTCCCCTTCAAGATAGGGAACCAGACAAGACACCCACTTTCTCTACTGTTATTCAATAATGGTACTGGAAGTCCCAGCCAGAGCAGAAGGCAAGAAAAGGAAAAATAATAGGAATCCAAACCTGGAAGGAAGGAATAAGAAGTATCCCTATTCTCACATGGCATATCTTACATATAGAAAATCCCAAAGATTTCTAAAGGGAGTTTCCAGAGCTAACAGAGGAATTCAGCCAAGTTGCAGGGTACAAGGTCAACACATAAAAACCAGGTGGGTTTCTATACACCAGCAATTTGAGAAGGAAATTAGGGAAACGTTCCATGTATGAGAGGATCTAAAAAAGCAAACAACACCGGAATAAATTTGTTGTTGTTAAGAGCCATTGCAGTAGTTCCTACTCATAGCATGGGGTTTCCAGGGCAGGAAGCCTCATCTTCCTCCAGCGGAGCAGCTGGTAGGCTCGAACCACCTACCTGTGGTGCCAAGTCCTGTGTTTATCCTGTAGAGTCACCACACTCTCTAGGGAAAATTTAACCAGGGACATAAGAAGACTTCTACAATGAAAATTATAAAACAATGTTGAAAAAGGCTTAAAGAAGTATATCTACTGTTCATGGGCTAGAAAACTCAGTATTGATAAGATGTCAGTATTGCCCAAAGGGATCTGGGGATTCAATACAAGCGCAGCCAAAATTCCAACAGTCTTCATTGCAGAAATCAAAAAATATATATATAGCCTTCAAATTTAGATGGACTTGCGTAGGGCCTGGGCCCTGAACAGTCAAAGCAATCCCGAAGAAGAATAAAGCAAGAGACTCTTACATCCTGGTTTTAAAGTATAAACCCCACATCAGCAGCTCTCAGCGTACTGAAGTGGGAAGATTCTCCAAGACAAACTGGCCAATTCAGAATGGCATGTGTAGAAACACTATCTTTTGCATACAAAGGAAAAAGGGGCGAGGAGGCAAAAGTCAGCACAGACCTCCAGGTGTCTGCCCACAAAGAGATTCTGCCAGAGGTGAAGGGTAGGGCACAGGGGCAGGGGTGTGTGGGAAGTTCTCCACTACAAACCTCTTTACACCGCTTGATTTGTTAACAAGGTAAATCTATGTCTGTTCTGAACATTTTTTTTCTAAACTGCAGGAGGGCTGTATGTAGCTCCACCTCAGAATCAACAGATCTGCTCATTATAGATACAGCTCCCAGATGGGCAGAGCTGTTGCTGTACTGCCGACAAGGTCCGCCGAGATTCTGAGAACACGGAGTGGGGTCTTCAGACTGAGCGCTCAGCTCTTCTCAGCTTTAGCTGGGGAGACAGACAACCACAGGGTCCTGGGGATAAGTCATCCACCCATGTGGCCTGGCTCACCTGTCTTCTGGAGAGTCAACATGGAAGGTCCTCTCGATGACCGTGGTCCACTGCAGGCAGCGTATGACAAAAGTGTTGGGCCGTGGCCTCTCCCTTTTCATCAGCTGGCATTCTGCAGACAGAGGGAAGAGAGCAGCAGGGTGACAGGCAGCCCTGCCAGCCTGCAGCCCACATCTCCACAGCCCCTCCTGTGTGCCCAATCCGGCCCCATACCAGAGGGTGGGAGGAACACTTCAGTGACCGAGACACCCTGGCCCAGCCCTCACGGGGCTCCAGGTCCCTTGGGGGAGGCAGCTCTGTCACCAGACAGTGACTTTCCCGTGATCAGGGCTATGGGGGCACACCAAGAGGGTTATCTGCCGGGCAAATCTAAGCTGATCCCTGAAGAAGAAAGGGGACACCATGCGCAGACCCCAGGGGTGAGAGGACCGCCACACTCGGGAATGGCTAGTGAAGCTGAGTGCGTGAGGTGGCTGCTGAGGTGGGCAGGCCAGCCGGGCAGGGTTTTGGAGGCCACAAAGAAGAGTCCAGACTTTGTCCTGAGGGCAGTATGGAGTCGTGGATGGCTCATTTAGGGTAGGGTAGGGACAAGGACAGATGTGAGACTGGAGTCCAGGGAGGGGGCTGGTGCAGGGACCCAGCAGGAGAGAATGGGGCTGATGAACAGGGGGCCGTGGGAGGGCAGAACAAGACAGGTAGTCAGGCTACAGGGTCTTTGGTCTGCGGCTGGGGAACAGTAGGGCTGACCCTGAGAAAGAAATGGAAGTAGGAGAAAGTTGGGGGAGGAGAGGATTGTTAAGGAGGCCAGTTTGGGCCCCAAGGGCCATCCAGGAGGCTGCTTGGGACAGGTCAGGAGTTATGTTGAACAAAGGGCTGGGAATAGATATCAGGGTAACCAATGCCACAGGGATCCTGGGAAGGACACCTTTATGCAGGGCAGAGAAGTAACTGAGTGGCATTCTAGAAAGAGCCAGACTTGGGGGGGTTGGGGGAGGGGGCCAGGCAGGAGGCTGGGAAACAACAGGAGCAGGGACCTGGATGGGTGAAGTGGTGGTCTGGATTAGGGGAATGGCAGGAAAATGTGCTTAGGACTGGGTACAAGGGAGCAGGGAGCAGGAGGCAGGACCGTGACTCTGGGCATCGTCCTCAGGACCGACCTCGGTACAACAAGGCTCCAGGAGCAGCTCTGTTACAGCTCTGTTCTGTAGACGAAGTGCTACAGCCCGTGTCAGGACCTCTGAATGTACCAGGGCACAGTGAGTGCTCACCAAAGACTGCCTCTTAATGGTGATGGGGATTCTTTTCCTTCCTGAGGGGAGACTACCACTAGGGGGATCCAGACAGGGCTGGTGACTGGGAGCAGCCCAGGAGGGGAGCGTGGTCATTAGGTAGGGCCTGGCCAAGAAGCCCAAGACCACAGCAGAGGGAGTAGAAGACACAAGCTCAGTTCTGAGGTCAGCATGGGTAGAAAGCAGATCGTAAGCAGGAGGAGGGCCACCTGCCACCAGCTAGAACCACAAGGGTTTAGCTAGCAAGAGCTGGCATCACAATAGGGATGATGCCCGGGTCAGGAGTAGAGGAAAGCCCTGGCTTCTCCCTTCTCCATCTCTCACCATCCAGAGCCCCCCACCAAGCCAAGTGACAGCAGGGCAGGAAATGAATCTGAAGCAGACAGACCCAGGACAGGCCCCCAGCTCTTCAAGAAAGGCCAAGTCCCAGGTCCCCTCAAACCTTCCAGGCCGTTCTCAGTGCCCAACCTCTGGCCCACTGGCCCTGAGACCCACCTGCAACAGAGAAGTTGTTTAAGGGAGGTAAGGACTGGTCAGAGGTCTCTGGCCTCTCCTTATACCCAATGAAGGAGCCATCACTCTTCAGGAGGAAGTATCGGGGCCTCCAGGTCTTGATGTATTCACCTGAAACAAGGCAGGAGGGAACAGAGAGTTCAGGGCAAGTAGGGCCACACCCCAAGTGGGCAGCCAGCCAAGTATGACAGGGACTCATGAAGGGACCATGGTAGGAGAAGGGGGATAGGAAGAGTGGGCAGGAAAACACTTCTCCTAGAGAATCGGATAGAGGCTGGGTACTGGGCTGGGTCCAAATAATCCAGAGGGCACACTGGCACGGTGGCGCCTGGTGCAGGGCACCAGGGACCAGAGGCCTCTGAGTGTGGCCAGTGTCTGTGAGGTCCTGGAGGGAGGCTTCCAAATGCATGCCCTGTGGCCTATAAGACTGAACCCCAGGGAAAGGGGTGTGGGCAGGACGGAAACCTCAGAGGTGGGAGGGAGGGATCAGAAAAGCTCAGGCCAGGACTCAGAGATTCTTGGTGCCTAACTGCAAAGTCGCTGTTTTAAGCCTCACAACAGCTGTGCAGGGAATCATATAACCAAATATCTGTGCCAGGCCCTCAGCCCCTCTAGGACAAGCAGGCCTCCAGAATTTGTTCCATTGGATCTGATTGGATGGGAGCTGTGTCTGACCATACATGTGTGTATGCACATGTGCGCATGCACACACATTACAAGCAGCCACTCCTCACCAGAGAGCTACGAAGGATTAAAATAAGATGGTGAGACTATCAGACTCCACTCATAGGAAGCAAAAGAGAAGGAAAGAAATCAAAGGCTCCAAAAACAAACTAGTTCAAGAACCACAGCTTTTCTAAGCTGAGACCAGAAGAACTAGATGATTCCCAGCTACCACCTCTGATCGTTCTGACCTGGGAGACATCAGAAGATTCCAAATAGAATGGGAGAAAAATGTAGAATTAAACTCAAAATCCTACGTAACCTAAGGAGTCTGACTACTGTGCCTACTAGAAGAGACTAGAAGAACCCCTGAGACTATTACCCTAAGACCCCCTTTGAATTTGGAACCGAAGCTTTTCAGCCAAATAACAAGTACTATCAACCATAAGCATTGTGGTCCCTTAAACAATGACCTATATGAGGACCAAACAGCCAACAGGTGCCGAAAAGCAAAGATGATAAGATAAGCGGGGGAAGGGAAGCTAGATGGATAGAAAGAGAACACACAGAATGGAAACAATGAGAATGCTGATACATGGAAAAAATTGCAACCAACCAAAAATTGCTGGGCACAGAATAATCTGTCTAAAATTTGTTAAGGGGAACCTAGCTTGATGCATCAACTTTCTCTCTCTCTCTCTCTCTCACACACACACACACACACACAAAGAAAGAAGAAAATATCATTTTAAAAAATGAAATGGTGAAGCACATACCCAAATACAAACGTTCACAGCATTGTGCCTATTACTCTGTAACTGCCAAAAGGTGAAAATGACCCAACTACCCATCAATTAATGAATGTACAAATAAAATGTGGTATATCCATCCATGTAGTTTTTGTTGTTGTTAAGTGCCTGGGAGTCAGTTCTGACTCATAGGGATCCTCTATAGGGTTTCCAAGGAGCAGCTGGTGAGCTTGAACCTTGCGGTTCAAATGAATTTTGCAATCCAGCGCATTAACCCACAGCGCCACATATCCATTCATACAATGGAATATTATTCAGCAATGAGAAGGAATGAAGTACTGATGTTGTTGTTGTTAGGTGCCATTGAGTCGGTACTGACTCATAGCGACCTTATGCACAGCAGAACGAAACCCTGCCCGATCCTGGGCCAACCTCACTACTGTTGCCACGCTTGAGTCCATCGATGCTGCCACTTGGCCAATCCATCTCGTTGGGGATCTTCCTCTTTTTTTTTTTTTTTTTTAAACTGGTAAATCTCAAATTATAAGTGAAAGCATATGGCATGACTCTACATGGAATGTTCAGAATAGGCAAATCCAGAGACAGAAAATGGATGAGGTGGCTTAGTCCTTGGGGAGGGGGCAGGGGGGGAGATGGGGGGAGGAATGGGATGACAGCTAAGGTGTTTCTTTTGGGGGCAATGAAATAGTCACAACTAGGCAATAATAAAAATTGATGAAATATATGCTATGTGAATTATATCTCAACAAAACTCAGAAGAAAAAAAAATATATGAGATTGTCAAAATAGAGCAACCAGACCAGAAATACTGAGAGTGTTCATGAATCTTGAAGAACGTAACCAAAGTCACTGAACAATGTGTGTTAAAAATGGTTGAATGGGAACCTAAACTGCTATGTAAACCTTCACCAAAAACACAATCAAACAGCATTTTTATTAAAAAAAGAAAAGAAAACCCTGGTAACCATGAGGCAGGTGCTCAGTCTTAAGAGAAGTCCTACCAGCAGACCTGTTTCACAAACGAGGAAACAGGTACCAAGTAGTCTCATTACCTGCCCAAGGCTCAGAGCTCTGTGAACAGGGCCAGACACGACTGGGGTCCAGCTCTGCTCTGTCTGAGGCCACAGCCACACTCTTGACCACTGTGCCATCTGTCTCTAAACCAGCACCTGGTCCGGACAAGGGCTGGGAACAGCATCTGTGTCCCACTAAGGGGCTGGTGTGTGGTGTGAGAGAGCCTAGTCCCTTCGTCCTGCTCTCAGTATCACAAGTAGAAGCAGCATACAGGACAGGCCTTGAGAACACTGGTTCAGGAGTCCTGCTATCACCTGAAATCCTATGCAGGCGGGGCACCCTCCCTGCCCAGTCTCAGCTTCCCAGGCCTAAGTCAGTACCTGCCATGCAGGGCCTGTGACAATTCAGTGAACCTGGGCTAGTCTCTGGGGGAGCCCGAGGATCTGCATGGAGTGGGCACTTGGTAAATGGGGACTGCTATCATTATAAGGGACTCCTGGTGTAGTGCTGTAGGATCAGCATTGGACTGTGAACCACAAGGCCATCAGTTCAAACCCACTAGTTGCTCCTTGGAAACCCTATACAGGGTCGCTATGAGTCGGAACTGACTCGACAGCACTTTAACAATAGCAACATTATTGTAAGCAGTCCTGGTGTAGCACTGGAGGAGACGCACTGGACCGCAAGGTCAATTTGAACCATGACGTCAGCGGTTCAAATCCACCAGTCACTTCTTGGAAACTCTATACACGATCACTATGAATCTCAATTAATTCTATGGCACTTAACAACAACATTATTGTACGGAGTCCTGGTGTGGCACTGTAGGTTAAGCACTGGATCACAAGGTCAGTTTGAACCATAAGGTTGGAGGTTCAGACCCACCAGCTGCTCCTCCAAAACCCTACACAGAGTCACTATGAGTCGAAATGGACTCAATGACACTTCACAGTGACAATTCTTATAAACAACGAGGTACCCTAACAGCCTCAACTAGCAGGGCTTGCTTCACCTCACCCACCTCTGCCAGCTACTCTTCATAATGCCCAGAAGTACCCAGGTACAGCTGTGTATGGTGTAAACTAAAGGAGATGTGTCTGGGCTAAGCCACCCGAGCAGCCGGGGGGGGGGGGGGGGCTGCAGTCCCCTCATATGAAGCCCTAAGAGACCATTTCATACCATCACTTGAGCCTGAACTAGACAAACTCCTTACACCACCAAGCCCTCGGCCCCTCAAGATTTGGCCTCATGAGCGAAGAACCTCGCGAACCTCAGGCTGAGAGCACCCATTCACAGGAGCCTAGTCACTCAACAAACACCAATTACTTCTCTAGGCCCTGGGGCTACAAGGGGGAACAAGCCAATCAAGCCTGTACCCTCACAAAGCTGACGCTGCAATGTTCACCCACTTTACAGATATGAACCCAAATGCAAGGCTCTGCAAGGTGACGGAGCACGTGCACAGTTACACCAAGACGTGGCAGTCCGAGTTGGAACCTTAACCTCTGCTGTGGTTTCATTCAGAGCTCAGGGCAGAGGGAACAGAATTCCTCACTCAGTCTGACCAGGAGACCTGGTCCCAGGAAACCACCTCTACCCCTCCGTCACTGTTCTGGGCCTGCAGGATGTGACAGGGTGGAGGGGGGCACTTCCCAGGTTCCTGCAGGAACAGCCCACCCCCCAAGATTCACTGGCCCTGCCCTTTATACAAAGGGTCTCTCCCAGCTGTCCATGTGGCCCACACCCCAGCTTCCTTCAGATCCTCCTCAGGGAAGCCCTCCAACATCCTACATCTGATAGTGGCCCCCACCTTCCTTGTGCCTCTGCCTGATCTCCACAGTACACTCCCCCTAGCACCTATGTCCATGTGAGTGCTCTCTACCCTCCCCACCAGAAAATAAGAGCTTGCCTGTTTGGCTCACTGTTGTGTCTACAGGACCTAGAACAGTGCCTGGAACACAGGCAGCCTTAATACTTGACTGGGAATGAATGGAGGGGCACAAAGAGCAGCTACCCAGGGGCCTGACACCCTCCTCCCAAGGGAAGGTCCACAAAAGCCAGGACATTGTCTCCTTCACTCATCGGGCCTGGGACAAAGCCAACTGTCAGCCTGCTGACGTCACATGGCAGCTCAGCGGTGACGTGTGTGGTTCTGAGGACAGACAGCCTAGGGCTTTGAATCTCTTCCCTGTAAATGACTCCATTTCTCTGGGCCTCAGTTTCCTCATCTGTATAATCATGCCTTGGCTGGCAACATTCTAGGAATCCCCAGTATACAGAGCATCAAAACCAGGGTCCTTAGGGGGCTGCAAGGCCTAACTCAGTGTGAGCCATCCTGTCCCTCGGCCTCCTCTCCTCCCTCCTGACTTCGTTCATGCTGCCTCAGCCACACTGGCCAACTTGCTGTTCCTAGAATACACCGGGCACACTCCCGCCTCGGGGCCTTTGTCCTTGCTGTCCCCTCTCTCCGGGACAGCCTTGCCCTAGCCATCTGGCGGGCTCACTCCCTCACCTGTTCCAGGCCATCGTTCAATGTCACCTCCCCTGAACCCCCATGTCTCTCTAGTCCCTTCCTCTCCAAATTTCCTCTTTTTCTCCACATCCCTGATCACCACCTAACATTATCTGACCTCCCCGTCAGCACCTCCTTTCTTCACCCATAAAACAGGGGCTATCAGTGAAATCACTCACGTGGAAGCAGAGGACCCAGGCCTGGCCCCTGACTTCACCCAGGTGTCCAGGTCAATCCATAGCTCCCCTGCCCAGAGCCTCTGGAGGGTTTCAGGAAAGTGGCCGGGCAGGAGCCACTGGCCTAGGGGTGGGCAGGTTACGGAGTGCTGGCTTCTGGCCGGGCTGCTGAAGCCTCTGCAAGTCTGCCTGTTAGGGTACCAGCTGCCAGGAGGAGAAATGGGGGCAGGGAGAGTGAGAGAAAGGGACAGGCGAGTCGTGTGCCAAAACAGCGGTCCCTTACCACGCTTGTGGAGCCAGCCTTCTTTGATAACAGACACCTCGTTCATAGTGGCAGCGGAAAACAATGGCACCTAACTCAGGACAGCTCAGGGCAGCAGGGCATGCAGGAGGCGTCACGGACAAAGCAGGGTCTGCAAGAGAAGAGAGGAGCCCATCAGAGTGGGAAGGGGCCCCATCCCAGCCCCTTCCCTAGGGGGCACACCCAGGTTCCAGCTACTTTTCCGTGTTCTGCACAGGGAGGAGCCAGTGGGTGGGAGAGCCCTGCCCTCAGAGACCCAGTCTGAGGTGGGGAGGAAGTGGACAGACCAGACGAGACCTTGCTCTCAGGTCCCCAATAGGCAGGGGTGGTGGTGGACAGGAGAGCTCCCTGGGGTATGCACAGCCAGACCCTGCACTCAGGACACTTATGCCGAGGGGAGGCAGCCCCTCCACCCATCCCTACTTCTGACTAACTAAACGGGTGTCAAGGTGGCTTCAGCCCCGCCCCCTGCGTCACTCCCGTGTCCTGGTGCTGAGGTAACCTGGGATGAATCAGACCGCCCTGGGCACCAAGGGAGGTGCTTCAAACTACCAGCATCTACTCCCCACCCTGCCCCCAATACACACACACACTTTCTCTTTCTCACTCCTTTCTATAACAAGGAGTCACCTATCTGCCACCTTCAATAAACAAATACCCTCCCTCCCTCTCCCCCAGGTCACTCCCTCAGCCCCAATTAGCCCCCCATACCAGATGCCAGGAAAGACACACCGGGATCACCAACAAGAAAGCAACCTACTGTGTCTGCACTTGTCTGGGGCCTAATAGCCGGTCCTGGGGCTTTACCAAGGCTCTGGTCCCTTCTCTGAAACCCCTGCTTGCGTCCTCAGAGACCGGCAGCCGACAGACTGACAGACGCCAAGGCCGTTGCTTCGTCTCAGGTTCCCAGAGTGGAGGAGAGAAGGGCACCCAGCAAGTGCCAGCTGGGCCCCTACCTGGAGCCGCAGGCCTGGACGGGGGCCATGGAGCCCAAGGCGCCTTTCGCCTTCCCAGTCCGGGGTTATTTGCGGACAGCAGGTCAGGAGCTCAATGGCCCCTAGAGAAGCAGCAGCTGGCTCCAGGGACACCGTGGGCATCAGCTTTCTCTCGTGCCCCAGGGGAGCTAGTGGGCCGGACACGCTCCTGCCTGGCATGTGACAGTGGCATGCTGCCCGGCCAGGCAGAGGGAAGGGAGGTGAGTGGGAGGAAGCGGGAGGCAAGACAAGATGGACAGTGCCGGGAAGTAACAGGTGAGGAATCATGGTGGGGCATGGCTGCCAGGCCAAGGGGCTTACCCCATGACCCAATCAGAACCCTTAACCCTAGATATCCTACCAGTCTGAAGGTCTCCCTCTACTGCGACCGCTTTTCTCCATCCAGTCCTTCTTCCCGGCTAAGAACCTGGCTTACCCCCACTCCTACTCCTCCCTGAGCCCCTCCAACCTGCCCCTGATTTGGCAACTAGATGGATCCTAAATCTGGCCCAGACTTTCCCTGCTCAAAACTCTCCTGCTGTTCGTTCCCCACCATCCTTGGGGTAATAAACGGCAAGCTCCTTCCAGGGCTGGCTCTGCCGATCTCCATGGACCCACTGCCCTGCCTGGCAGCCCTGAGCATCCACTAGTTCTGCAGCCTGTCAGCTGGACCACTTTGGCCCTTCCTCAGGCTTGGGCCCTCCCCTTGGGCTCCCAGTCTCTGCTCTTGACTCCTCTAATCTATACATCATCATAACCTGACCCATCCTCTCTGCTCAAGATCCTTCCATGGCTCCCCAGAGTCCTCACAACACAGAACAAAGTCCTTCCCACTGCCTGAGTCCAGGCCACACACTGAATGGCACAGAACCTGGTTCCCAGAAACCAAACCAAACCCACTGCCATCAACTCAATTCTGACTCATAGCGACCCTATGTAGGGTTTCCCAGACTGTACATCCTTATGCTAACAGAAAGCCTCCTCTTCTTCCTGTAGTACTACCAGGGGGTTGAACCACAAACCTTGCAGTTAGGTGCCCAGTGTCTAAACCTAAAAAGTGCTCCACACAAAGGCTAATGACCATGACAATGACTGCACCCAGTCATGCTGCCCCCACCTGACTCTCCATTTCAGCCTGTTACTCAGGCCCCTCGCCCTTGCCTTGGCTGCCTGCACCTTCTCCTTCCTCCTGGGGTCTCTGCTGAAGCAGCCATCCTCTCCTAGAAACCTTTCTGACCTGGAGCCTGTATAGAGTGCTCTCTGTGCCTCTGAGCCCAGCTATTCTGCCCCCTGTACCCCTCACACAGACTCACCAGACCAGTACGGCACCAGAGTGTCTGCTGAGTATCAAAGAAATGAGCCCATGTCTCCCAGTCCAGGACCAGGGCCAGCACGGGCACCTAGCCAGTCTAGTCACTGTCCCCCATCTTTTCTAGCGCTCCAGGCACTGTCATGGGCACTGAAGACACAGCTTCTACCTTCCAGAAGTTCACATGCTGGCAGAGAGGCAGAAAACACACCAATACACATGTAACAAGGTCAGGGTGGTGAGGGATGCAGAAAACAATGGCGGTGCTGTTTTCACATCACTGTACCAGGACTTCTGACCCTAGGTGTACAGGTCTGAGTTCACTGAGCAATGAGCCGGGCAGACATCTAGGGTGCAGAATTTCAATACAGGGAGCATCAAATGTGACGTCCCAGAAAAAGGAATGGAGCATGGGGAGTCTCAAATGCAAAGAGGCCAGTGTGGCTAAAGGGGGACAAGCAGGGGACAAGTGAGGGGTAAGAAGGCATGGCAGAACAGAGAGGGCCTTGTGGGCTGTGGTCAGGAAGGAATGCAGCAGCTGACACCAAACATTCCCCAGCACAAGTTGGGATGAAAGGCAATCTCCAGGTTACAAAGAAATTCCATTCCTCAATCTGTCTGCAAATCGAATTTGCACATAAATTGGAATACTTAGGTAGGGTTTGAATCTAGCATCAATTACTCAAATGTTTATCTTAATAAATAAATACTATATGCTGTTGTTGTTGTTAAGTTCCACTGAGTCGATTCTGACCCATAGCAGCCCTGTATAGGGTTTCTGAGGAACAGCTGGTGAGCTTGAACTGCCGACCTTGTAGTTCAAACCAACTTTGCAGTCCAGCGTATTAACCCACAGCGGCACACCAGGACTCCACATAGAACATAGTGTACCCTTTTATGCATATGAAAAGCATTAAAGCAACAGTCCAGATAAAGAAAACATCTTTAACATATTAAGACAGTAATAAGAATGTTTAGATGTGTGTCTCAAAGTAGTGAGCCTTAAAGCAGTGCCCACTTGTTCTTCAGAGCCATTGTATGTTATCTGGGCTTTTTAATATACTAGATTTTCCAAGTGTTGGTGCAGGGGTGCCTGTGTGTCGAGGAAAGGATCCCAGCGTCCAAAGTAAAGGCAACGTGGATGAGAGGACGCCAGGCCTGGATCCCGCCCTGTCCTCTCATTGAGGTGTCTGTAACATGGTCCTATGTGGCTGCCTGCCCACAGGGGAGCTGCCGGTGGAGGGCCCCCGGCCCGAGGAGAGGCTGTTTTGGGAAGCTGGGTGTCAGCACACAGAAGTCTGCCCCGGCTGCTCCAAGACTGTAAATCTTTATGGTAACAGACCAGCCGCTGGGTTTGAACTGCTGACCTTGAGATTCAGCCACTAACCCACTGCGCCACCAGGCCTCTTTGTACTCAATCAGCCTCCCCAGAAATCAAGTTGATTGGGGAGGCATGCCCATGCTGGTATTGAGCAGAGCGGCAGGGAGGCACCTGGGAAGAGATGCCTGAGGGGCCTTTCACTACGCTACTGGCTATCTTTATGCCTCAGATGTTTTCCAGTAAATTGTTTTTCAAAATTTAGTCTCGTTCACAATGAATCACAAGCTGTGACCCCCTCAGAAGCAATGTCTCACATGCTGGTATGAGATTCATGAAAGGCAGGTGTTTTAGGTAACGACATGGACCTGAGCTAGCAGCCCAAGACAGGACAGCAGAGAGGCCATGGATGAGACAGGTCCCAGGAGGCTACGCAGACCAGGTGAGCACCCGTGGTCTGTCCCACCCTCCTCTGCTCCACAGGAGCCTCAGGGACATCATTCCTCCAAACACCTGCCTCCAGGGGCTTACTCAGTGTGTTAAGGCTACCCCAACCTCAGGGCCTTCAAACATGTTTTTCCCCTACAAGGCAGGCTCTTCTCCCAGGAATACGAAGAGCCACACCCACTTTCTTCAGTCTCCACTCATATACCACCTGCCTTGGAAACCCTTCCTAACCTCCCCCAAACCAAAATACACCCCACTTTATCTCCCTTATGTTTCGTGTCTCTCCACAAGCGCTTATCACTGAAGATATTACTACATACACAGTCCCTGGTGGATAACAGGGTTCCTTTCTGACTCTGTCATGAGTTGGTGCTGATCGAAGTCAAATACCTTGCTTTGCTTTATTTTTCTTTATTATTACAGACTTTATCAGTATTCTTATAAATGTGATCTTTGTCTTATTGGATACATTGTATGTACTTACAACTCTATGACATCAACAAATTGCATGTGGCAACATTGTATACAGCACATATTACTAATGATATGTAGTATAAAACAAAAAGAGATAACAAATACAAGGCTTAAGCTCTGTAGCTAAGCTGAGGGCTACAGGTATGAAGGTTTAACATGATGAGGGCAGGGACTTGTGTGTCCTGATCCTTGCTGGATCCCAGAGCCCTGCGTACTGAGTTACTGGAGTGAATGTGTACAGAGTGAAACTCAGTGTCTAGAATACAGCACAGGCTCCAAACTAGTTCAATTCCTTTCCTTGCCACCAAGTACTTTCTCTGTTGCCCCCTCTCACTGACCTGGTTCCCATGCCAGACAGCACAGATGGACTGGGGGGCGAGGGAGGGAAGTAGGTGGAGTAGTAGAGGATCTGGAATAGGAGACAGGGAGGGGGTGGGGACCACACGCTGCTGAGGATCACCAATATGGTGGCAGCCCACCCAGGAACCTCTATCACCTGCCCTTTAATCACCACCTTACCTAGACCTTCCAGGGGAATACCTTTCCATGAAATGACTGTGAAGACAACAGAAACCATGACTATCTAAAAA